AGCTCTTAATGCTCAATTCCGATTTTTTTGATTACCGGTAAATCCGATTTTTTTGTCTTCTCGTTCACAATACAAATAAAATGCGACAGCAAACGTGCTCTAGTGTGAACGCTCAAAGCGGCCCGCATGCGCAAAAAGATGTTTAGACACAGAGCAAACAATATTGTTTGACTGATGGCCCTTAATATAAAGACTTCGGACTTCACGTTTCCCAATTTTTGCTTTAAGTTATTTTGTTATTTACATAATAATGTAGATAACCTAATAATGATCCTTATTGCTGTTTTAGAGAGGAGCGGTGCTTCAAAGGATAGTTGCAGATTTCTGTCAGAATCTGCAGATTATGCAGTACAAATAAAATGTTAACGTTTCTCCAACGTTGTCTTCCCAGCAGTTTCACTGGATGGCCAGGAAGCGTTCGCGATGTCTTATCGGGCGCTTCTCCGGCGCTGATAATTGGCGTCTGTCTTGTGTCAGTGACGTAAAAGACGGATTTAATGCGACTTGACCATTCAAACAGCAGTCGCTTTCTGAAACATCGGATATGTATCGGATTCAGTACCACATACGAAAGTGACCCAGATCGGATTTGAAAATATCGGATTTGTGCCGTTCACACTGTCATACCATGATCGGATATGGGTCGCATAGGGTCAAAAAAATCGGATTTGATGCGCTTTCGCCTGCAGTGTGAATGTAGCCTTAAACACTTCTCTTTCAAATGCTGCTGTGTCCACAGTGTTTGCTCTACAGCCATCATTTTACCCTCAAAACGTCGCCATCGTTGTTCTCTTTCCAACACCGTGTCTTTCAAAGCTCAGAGATGTAAACTTTTTAAACTGTGTGGATCCAAGTGGAGGGATCACATTTTAGTCATTCAGTGATTTAAAGAGTATTAACTTTTAATATTCATTCAGATGTTTTCTGACTCTAAAATTTATTTTCTCATTACTTAGGTTTTTCCAATTTACATTTAAAACATTTTCAGCTATTTTCCAACTTCTTCTGTGTGAATGTCAGATTTTAGCAGTTCAGCACTTTTGTTTTCAGGCAAAAATTTCTGTATTTTTCATGTAATTCAAAATTTTAAACTTAAATTCAACAATTAATTCATTTCAGTGCATACATTCAGATTCAAGCATTCACACTGCAGTTTCTTCAGAAAATGCACTTTCTATTTCTGCTTTGTTGTGCAAGAGCTTAGAGTTAAGCTCTGAATACACTTAAGTTAGAGTTCAATAGCTGAGAGTGGTTTAAGACGTTCCTTTGCCACGGGCTGCATATAAAAAGCAGGGCACTACCACCGAGGCACCAACGTTTATGTTTTATACCTATTCTAGTTTCTGCCTTACTGGGTTTTATTTTTGGAGCCAGGAGTGGCCATATTTAGATTAGAGGGTGGTCCTAAGTTATCACCTGACATTAACAAGCTTGGCTAGCAAGCTACATCTCTGAACTGTAACCTTGATTAGTGCTAAGCAAGAGACAGAGAAACTTTAGAACAGTGAGTAGTTTTCTTTCCAAAACTGGAAAACCAAGTTTTTGGATCTTTACCAAACAGCAGGCAACACAGTTTGTCAGAAATACCATTAAAATGATCCATAGTGAAGAGTGACTCTAATTTACTGACATGTAGCTAACAGCCATTGGCTATAGCAGCCTACGTTGGCACACATATCAGTTAAAGTTGTCACATCTCTACTTTTAAACCTTAACCAAATCCACCCGGATTAGTTCTAGAAGGATGAAATCAGCCACAGAGATCAAAAAATGTTTAAAGGCTTTAAATATGTCATTTTCATGGCTAAAGTTGGGCTTTTTTTTACACGGGAGTCTGTGGTGATTCACTTTTGGAGCAGGCCCCAACTTCAACTTCAGCTTCACCAGTGAGGAACATGCAATTGCAAATGCACAAACGTGATTAAAAATAACTGCACAGCATCCTCCGTTCAGCATAAGCTGCTGTACATTTAAATGAGCAACTCTGCCTCTGCTGCTCGCGTCATTTTCCCTGCAAATGCAGATTGAGGTCCAGGATTCATTTATTCAGTCTTCCCACCACCGCCTCACTGTAACTCTCACCCTGACTTACTCCTTTCACGAAACCTTTACTGAGAAAGCACTAAGACACCACTTTATAGCCCAGCGTAATGTGACTTTTTAAAGAGACACCATTCAAAGCAGCCATTGCATCAAGCCTGTCCAATTCAAGTGCTTGGATTAAAGCCCAGCTGCAGACGAGTCACTCGTAGAACTGGACCTCTTCTGACATCATTGAAAACACAAAATTATATCATTAAATCATGTGCACTTAACCACTTAAAGCATCATACACAGCTGGAAAGTTGCCTTCTGTGCAACCTTCAACCTTATGGCCATTAATTCAAAGATCTGCCTCTGTGCCAGTGTGCAGCCTTCAGCTTTAGCTGGCTGAATGTAGCATGTAGCCACTGTTGATGGGAAGAGAGCAGCGAGTCAGACTGCTGACAGGACAATATTAATGCAAAGAAGGTTATTTCTGGCATAAAACGATTCCTTCATTTAAACTGATTGGTTTAAAAAGTAAAAAATAAAAAAGAAGTAGTTTTTGTACAGATAAAGGACTCATCGCAACAAATCATCATTTAGGAGAACAAGCAGTGAATCCACAAAGGCTGTTTCCTGTTGATTTTGAATGGAGCAGCTCCAGGTTTTGCCTGCGTGTGCGTCATTATGAAGCATCTGTTCAGCAAACAAGAAACAAAAGGGAAGAGCAGCTATACGGTGCCCGCGCTGGGTGCAATCCATCAGCACGCATCATGAACTGTGTGTGCGTGGGTGAGTTTGCTGGTGACGGCGGTGGGGGTGTGTGCCTCAGAAGTGATTAGCGAGTGTTTTCAGCTCTCAGACGTGTCACGGAGGAGGGAAGTCAAACGACGCTCCTTAGCGCCCACACACACGCAGCCCGGCACAGTTTGACCCGAGTCTGTTGTCATCAGAATAGGTTGCTAATTAAGAAGAGATTCTCTCACACTGACAGCTTGTCGCTTGCCTCCCTACCCAAGAATCTTGTATATGTGTGTGTCACAGCACTGTTGTGTGTTGTGTTCTTCTGTCAAAGAGCTGTCCCATACCGTGAAGGGCCAGAAAGGTGATTTGTCTCCCTCAACCGTGCTCTGTGTGTCAGCGAGTGCCGCTGTACACAAACATGCACTTGTGCAGTGTGCACACAGGGCAAAATTAAGTTTAGTGCACAACTCTTACATAAAAGGAACACTTTTACAGAGAGGCTAATACCTAGTCTGCTGTCACTGTTTGAGCACTCCCAGCGCAATCTTTAAAGCAGAATCCCCCCTTCCCAAAATCAGTTTCATAAAATGTGAACATTAACATTTATTGCAGTGCTGTAGCACTTGAATGCATTAGTTTTAGACAGCTGCAGCCCTCTAAACTGGCAACTAAATGACTTTGTGTATTGACGAAGGTGTCACTTCAAAGCTGCAGGCAGTAATCGCTCAACTCTTTAGCTCTCTGCAGCTCTTCGCACTATGCAAGCAGAAAAAAGGACTTTTTTAACCTTATCCAGCTTTTTCTTGGTGGACACTGGGCAGCACATAGTGACTGAAAATCTGGTGGCCATGAAATATGGGGAGGTGTGCTGACCCCTCAATATATTCTTAAAATAAAACACCAAGCTGTTCCTAAACCAATCCGGAGATGTCTGCCTGTGGCCTTCTCCTCATCTAGGACCCGCCCCGGAGGCATCCTAGTCAAATGCCCAAAACACCTTAACTGGTTCCTTTTCATGTGGAGGATTAGCGGCTCTACTCTGAGGGTGAGATCATCACCCTCTTTCAGGCTGAGCTACCTTTCGGAAGAAACTCATTTCCGAATTGGGTAAATTATTTATTTTATGGACAAAGGTATTCATATTACTTCCACATTCTATTTTAAAAGAGGATGAATATGTGAATCAGAAGAACAACTCCACAAATTAGAAATGAGACCACTGAGGATCGTGTAAGCGCAAAGTAAATGCAGCCTCAAAGAGGTGCTAGCATGGCTGCTGACTGTCTCGGTAATGGACACAAAACCAGAGGGAAAACTTCAAATGATGGTGTTATCAGAACGACAAAAAGAGCTCCAAACAAATGTTTTTATGTTAATATGTTTGCTACTGCAGGCTTATATAGTAGACTATAAGTGACTATTTCAGTTTTATCATGGTAAGCCGTGGTTAATGCTAAATGCTAACTGTTAATGCTAACTGTTGTTTTCCTTTAATAACAAGCTGATGAATTCAGGCTCAGAAAATGTGGTGGTTGTAAACAAGTTCTGTACGGTGGCCATGAGAGGTCAAATGCACTGCAGTTAAGAAAGCACCAAGCAAAAGACAACTTTTGTGCACTTTTGCAACATTTTTTAGTTGCTGGTCCTATCTTAATTTGCAGTGCATCTAATCTCTTAGATTCACTGTCCAGTCCTATATAAGGCCATCTACTTGACATCTGCAAACACTTTGAGTTTACGGGCTACACCGCTCATTTTAGGTAAAAAAATAAAAATCTAGGTCATACTATATTTTAGAATAGAGGGTTATCAATGCTCAACAGCTAAGGACTCGTTCTGCTATGGGCAGAAATCTGTGCCATCAGAAACTGAATTTGAATAACAGAAACTGAATTTGAATAAGTTAAATTTGAATTTGAATTGCTCAGATTGAATCTGAATTGTAACTTGAATAAATGCTTTTGAAAACTGAATTTGAATTAGTCTAATTTGAAATTGAATTTATGGTATGAAAATGATCATCACGAAATTGAAATTGCATTTTATATTTTGAAAATGAATTGATTTGCTTTGAAGCTGCATTTTATCCTTTTAAAATTCAGCTCTCGAATAATTTCAGTTTCACTTCTCACCATTCAGTTTCAGTTCTACAATTCAGTTTTTTGGAACGTACATCCGGTTCCGGTTCAAGCGCAGATTAATAGAACTACGTTTTACTAGCGGACCGAAAGTGTTACTGACTACAGCATCTTGAGCTGAATTAAGACTTCAGAAGTCATTCGTCATGTCGAATGACCAGCGGATAAACTCTCAGGTTGGTAATAAATGTATTACATGTATAAGAACAAGCGTCATGTTAACAAATGATAGCCGTACAGTAACTGTTATGCTTATTGTAGCTGCTAGCTAAAAACGCTAATTTAGCGTAGTTTGCCCTGAATTCAGCTTTGACAAACAAATATGATCGACTGTTTCTAGTAGAATTCCAAAGTTGTCATCTTGGACCCTCTCAGAGTACCCCCTCTGTATGCTTGCAGAGACCCCTGCAGTAGGGAAACATGCAAAACGGTGTCCAAACCTTTGTATTTTAGCTTTATTTATGTCTTACACAGCATCCCAACTCTTTAGCTAACTTAATAACTTAAGCTAAAGTGAATAGTTAGTCTAATTCATTAGTGCAGCATTACTGGGTCACCTCTGTTTGAAGTGATATAATATGATATACAACTATCAGTGTTTAACTACCATAATAATTCTTAGGGTACTGAGTGCATGCTTAATTAGATTTTTTTTTTTTAAACATACTGCTCCATTACTATGTTCGACAGGCTGAAGTTGTCGGGTCACCTCCTAAATCGACCATCTTTTACAGGTGTTTTGTGCCAGAAATGGAGTGTCCACTGAAGACTGAAGATACTGAATCTCTACGCCTTGCCATTGATCCCTCTTGTGTCTTCATCTAGACAAGAGACATTAACTTAACCACTCTCATATGCTCTGTACCTACATCACCTTCCCTGACAGTCGTAGCTTGGCTCATCTGAGGGTGAAATTATAAGAATGTGTTATTTTGCAAAGTGCTCTCTAGGGTTCCTAAATAAAACATGGCATCGAGGTCATTTCTTTGGAATTAATCCCTTCTTCTGAAATATAAGAACATCTCCTGGTATTAATGGCACTTTGGATTTCCTTGGATTTACCTGTTCCACTTCCAAACCCAAATAGATGCTGACAAGCTGACACAGTAACATGGAAGAGGGAAAGACGTTGGAAAGGACTACTACAAATAAACCCAATGTCTAACAATGAAAAATGTAAAATAAGAACAATAATAATAATAAAGATAAGATGAAGTAACAAGTTTTTAGTTTTGTTTATTCCAAATGATCATCCAGATGTCTGTAACATGTGATGACAAACACCATAATGGAAGGCCTTAGTCATCACATGTTTAAACTCATCATATATTTTTGCATATGCTGAACAGGCAGTCAGACATGCTGTAACTGTGGGGTAGAAAACTGCATGAACACTATACGGCAGGGGTCTCAAACTCATGGAATGGGCATGGAAAAGTTGCATGACACTGGCCCTTGAGGACTGGAGTTTGAGACCCCTGTCATATGGAATATGACAGGTGTGGTTGAACTGCATGAAGACTCTGAAGTTTCTCTTCTCTTCTGGCAGGACAGGAATGTGGCCTTGTCCTGAGATCCACTGTAAGGATGTACTTAGAGTAGAACTGGACTATCACCGGCCTCAGGCTCTTCACCCTTTTCAAAGACAAAGCAGTCATTTAGATAAAATATTTGATATTGTTTACCTGTAAATGCACAAAGTAAATTTTGAAATGTAATTATTGTCAAGAGTGAACAAGCACTGATAGTGGGTTTACGACACCAACTCTCTGCCATCTATAATCCAGTTTTGAGATCCCTTCCCAGACGCCTTAAC